GGGCTATGGCCTGACCTGCATTGGGGAATCTGAGTTCCAACTTCAGTTCTGCCTGCGTGTCCAGCCATCTCTGACTGCCTGAAGACACGGAGGAAAGTGTGGGTGCAATGGTGCTTCGGACCAGGGCCGTGTCTGGGGACATGATGTGCTGTCATCCCCAGGCTGGGGGTGCTGCTGAACAAGACACAGGATAGGCTCCACTGAAAGAGTGATCCACCCCAAAATGAAAAGAATGCACAATGTGAAAGCCAAGATAAGACCAGAAAACCTATGGTTGTTCAGCCATATTTATTGTTCAGTTGCTCAGCTGCATTTGGCTCTTTGTGACCCCATGGACTGCAGCATGCCAGGCTTCCCTGTCCTTCACTATCTCCCTGAGTTTGCTCAAACTCACGTCCAGTGAGTGACACCATCCAACCATCTCATCCTGTCATCCCCTTCTCCTCCTGCCCCCAATCTTTCCCAGCATCAGGGTCTTTTCCCAACAATATTTAAAAATCAGCTATTCCCAGGACTGATTTCACTAAGCCCAATGAGTCCCTTTAATTTCAACATTAAATCAAAGCATTCTTTGGCTGGTGTACATTCATCCCTCCTACATGTTCTCACATCCAGAATTTGTAGAGATATATTTATTATGCAATCAAGAATCCAGTGTCCTTTAAACAGTCTCCCCCTGGTATTTTACCTGTACTCAGAGACTTCTCTATGACCTCCAACTAGAGCAGTCCCCTCCTGGACCCATGGTTGCTACCTCTCCTGAGATGCCCACCTACCAGCCTATGGATGCCACAGGCACCATGAGCTCCACTCCCCAGACTGATGGGCACCCAATGGGAGAGACCCAGCAGGCCAACCTGGTGCCTCCCCACTGAGTTCAAGCTGCACAGGAGATGTGACAAACCCCTCAGTCCAATCATCTCTGAGCCTGCTGGCCCCATGACAGCTCATATTCTGACGAATGCATTTAAAACAGGAGGGATGGAGGAGGTGGCAGGAGGGGTGTGCCGCAGGATGCTCGGCTGTGATGCTCAAAAAGGACCTGAGGAGGGCTCGTCCTCTGGAGGAACATTCTCTGTTTGGGGGGCTCTTGGGGTCTGCGCCTTTGGGTCCAGGAAAGAAATCCAAATGAGCAAAGGTGGAGAAACCAACACAAGATTGTAAAGGATTATCCTCCAATTAAAAGAAAGGAATCAGACCTAACACCATACACAAAGATAAGTTCAAAATGGATTAAAGACCTACATGTAAGACCAGAAACTATAAAACTCTTAGAGGACAACATAGGCAGAACACTCAATGACATAAATCAAAGCAATATCCTCTATGACCCACCTCCTAGAGTAACGGAAATAAAAACAAAAGTAAACAAGTGGGACCTGATTAAACTTAAAAGCTTTTGCACAGCAAAGGAAATTATAAGCAAGGTGAAAATACAACCCTCAGAATGGGGGAAAATAATAGCAAATGAAACAACTGACAAAAGATTCATTTCCAAAATATACAAGCAGGTCATACAACTCAATGCCAGAAAAACAAACAACCCAATCAAAAAGTGGGAAAAAGACCTAAACAGACATTTCTCCAAAGAAGACACACAGATGGCTAACAAATACATGAAAAGATGCTCAACATTGCTCATTATTAGAAAAAGGCAAATCAAAACTACAATGAGATATCACCTTATACTGGTCAGAATGGCCATCATCAAAAAGTCTAACAATAAATGCTGGAGAGGGTGTGGAGAAAAGGGAACACTCTAGCACCGTTGGTGGGAATGTAAATTGATACAGCCACTATGGAAGATGGTATGGAGATTCCTTAAAAAACTAGGAATAAAACTACTATATGACCCAGCAATACCAGTCCTAGGCATGTGCCCTGAGGAAACAAAAACTGAAAAAGACACATGTATTCCATTGCTCATTGCAGCACTATTTACAACAGCTAGAACATGGAAGCAACATAGATGTCCATCGACAGATGAATGAATAAAGAAATTGTGACACATCATACACAGTGGAATATTACTCAGCCATAAAAAGGAATGCATTTGAGTCAGTTATAATGAGGTGGATTAACCCAGAGCCTATTATACAGAGTGAAGTAAGTCAGAAAGAGAAAGATAAATATCATATACTAATGCATATATACAGAATCTAGAAAGATGGTACCAAAGAACTTATTTGCAGGGCAGCAATGGAGAAACAGACATAGAGAACAGACTTATGGACATGGGGAGAGGGGAGGAGAGGGTGAGATGTGTGGAAAGAGTAACATGGAAACTCACATTGCCATCTGTAAAATAGATAGCCAATGGGAACGTGCTGTGTGGCTCAGGAAACTCAAACAGGAGCTCTGTATCAATCTAGATGGGTGGGAGGGGGAGGGAGATGGGAGGGAGGGTCAAAAGGGAGGGGATATATGTATACCTGTGGCTGATCCATGTTGAGGTTTGACAGAAAAGAACAAAATTCTGTAAAGCAATTATCCTTCAATTAAAAAATTAATTAAAAAAAAAGAATCAGAGCAGCCAGAATGGTGTGTCCATGGAAACCACCCAAGAAGAGGCAGTGTCATCCAGGAAGCGAGTCAGAGGGAAGACCTGGACCTGGTCCCGCCCCCAGGCTCAGACATGGGTGATGGCTCTGAGGTTCTGGGGGGCACCGTCTTCCCCGAGCTGTCTCCCGAAGCCCCGCACACCTGGAGGACAGGAGCAGCACCACGCTGGTGACCCCAGGTTGAGAAGCCCAGCATCCCATTTTACGATGGACCCTGTATTCTTTATCTCAATATCATGGAAACACACGCACTCAATTTGTCACAAGAAAATAACAACTTCACAAGCCATTTTTGGAAGGTATTAAGTTCAAGGTTCCAGTCAAAAACCCACAAACTATCTCTCTTAACAAAATTGTACTGTTCACACTTACTGACGATCTGTTCTCAACCCTGTTAGGCATTGAAAGTGGAAGTGCTACCTGCCCAGTTGTGTCTCGCTCTTTGTGACCCTGTGGACCGCAGCCCACCAGGCGGCTCTGGGCATGGAATTCTCCAGGCAAGGATACTGGAGTGGACTGCCACTGCCTTCTCCAGGGGATCTTCCCAACCCAGGGGTTGAACCCAGGTCTCCCGCATTGCAGACAGATTCTTTACCGTCTGAGCGACACATTACCTGTTATCAGACCTAAACCTCAGCGACCGCTGAGAGCACAGACCGGGTCGGGAAGAGGACGCCCCTCCCAGGGGCCTTCTCACTGCCACTCCCAGCGACGTCAGGAAACCTCTTGAAAGGCAAGTAGCCAAACTCGGACATACATCACCCAACAATCAGGCAAGGGCTGTAAAACTTTATGTGGGCATTCATAAAGGTGAGGGAGCGTGAAATATTATTTTTCTTTTGATGATCCTTATTAAAGGTGAGCAGAGCACATTCTGAGAGCAGTTTCCAGCAGGCTATCTGATGAGGGATTGACCTGAAGTGAGAGTGAGTGTGGCGGGCAAGCGGTCCCCCAACTCTGAGCCACGGGAAAACAGCGGTCCACTTCCCACCTCAGCGTCTCAATCCAAGCATTCATTGTTATTTCCTCCATAAACTAAAAATATTTCGACCTAATATATTATGAATTTAACAAGTCTCCGCTAGGGAATTACAACTTTAAAAGCACTGAATAAATGAAAAGAGATTTATCAAAATACATGGATAAATTACTCTAGGTCAAAAGGGACAGATTAAACAACACATTTAAAAGAAATGACAGGCAGACCTTAGAGACACTGCAGGTTTGGTTTAGGCCACTACAATCCAGCAAATATCACAATTACAGGGCTTACATGATTTGGGGGGCTTCTCAGTGCATATAAAATTATGCTATATTGTAGTCTATTAAGTGTACAACAGTATTGTCTAAAAATGTACATGTGATGTGAAGTCGTTCAGTTGTATCTGACTCTGCGACCCCATGGACTGCAGCCTGCTAGGCTCCTTCATCCATGGGATTTTCCAGGCAAAAATACTGGAGTGGGTCACCATTTCCTTCTCCAGGGGACCTTCCCGACCCAGGGATCAAACCTGAGTCTTCCACACTCCAGGCAGACTTTACTGTCTCAGCCACTAGGGAAGCCCAAAAACGGACATATGTTGAATTTAAAAAAAGATTGTTGCTAAAAAAAAATGCTATCATCTGAGCCTGCAGTGATTCATAATCTTTTTGCTAGTGGAGGGTCTGAAATACTGCAAGAATTACCAAAATGTGACACAAAGACAGAAAGTGAGCAAATGCTGTTGGGAAAATGGTACGAACTGACTTATTCAGTGCAGGGCGGCCACAAACCTTCAACTTGAAAAAAACACTGCATCTGTGAAGCACAGTCAAGTAAAACACAATAAAATGTGGCATGCCTTATAAACGTTGAAAACAGCTTGGCAACACTGAATTTTTTTAAGTTATATGAATACCTAAAAACACTCATACAACTTGATTACAAAATCATTAATAATCCAAAGAGTAAATGGAAAAAAAGACAATTAACCCAGGAAGAAATCTAAGGTGTTAAAGCACAGAGTCTCTAAGCAACCACAAGGACCATCTTTCACCACCCTGAATCCATGGGGCCGTCCTCCAAGTGCAGCACAGGTTACTGGCCCGCTCTGGGAGAGGGCTGCGTCAGGACAGTCTCTCCATGCGGCTTTGTGCATCAGTGAGGATGTTTTTGGTCCCGCTTCATCTTGACCCTGCAGTGGTATTTCAAACCCTCCCAGGGTCACCACAATGAGAGTGGATGTCCTGGGGGCAGAACACCTCATAGGGAAACGCTGAGCTCCGTGGGGCTGAGAGTGGGCGCCCCCTGGCGGTGGTGTTTCACACACGCCCTTCCCGTCTCAGCCCCATCTCCCCTCCCAGGCCATGTGGGACCATGCCTACCCTCGTGCCCCTCCGGCTATAACCAGTCCGGCTACAAATTCACAGCAGACGTCTAAGTGAAAGGACGGCACGCACCTGTTTTTGATGTGCTGTGGGGAACCCAGGCATCGGAAGCTGCCGTGGACCATGATGGCAAGCCTTGTGCACACAGCTTCGCATTCCTCCATGCTGCGGGAGACAGGACCAGGGGTGAGCTGCAGCCCCAGACAGGGCTCGAATCAACAGTGGGATGGGCAAGCAGAGAGACACACCATAACCGAAAATCAGCTGAATTTCCATACAGGACTCACAGAACTCAAAACAGCACACTGGAAATGGATAAGACTCCACTTATATGGCCAGCTAAGCAATTAACCAAAATATTAGTAGTCTTTTCATATAGTAGGAAGAACAATTACTGAATATATAGGAGAAAACCTTTTGGCAATAGCACAAAAATGCAAAATAGATCAGAAAGACCTTCATAAACGTGGAAATCTTATGAAAAGAAAGAAGTTTTACTGATGGAAAATTAAACTTTGAATCAGTGGGAAGATATATCAGAAAGAGAGAAAAGAACAAATACAGTTTAAATGAGAAATTGTTTAAAAAATCATTATAATATAAATAATATAATGCAAGTATAAAATAAATTTTGTATAAACTATAAACAAAAGTCATACTTTAATACAGTAATTATATATAACAAATAACACTGTAATTTGTAACTATAACTTAGCTTGTAATATAATCTAATATTATGTTGATATGAAGTATGTTATCAAGATTTAAAATTTACAATTATATCATTATAAATACATAAAAGTATAATATAAATTTTAAGAAGAACTTAGTATAATACTGATCAAAAGTTTATCACTCCCCACAAGAAAAATTGAAAACAATTTTTAAAATATACTTTAAAATTATTTAGAGAGAGGTAGAAAAAGGTCAAACAAGAAGAGAAGTAAAATAAGACTCATTCCAGAAAATATTAACATTTTCTTAAATAATTAAAAAGAGACAGTATGCTAAGGAATTACAAAGAAGATCTTTGAAACAAAATATGACAGTGCAGATGAAACATCAGTATTTTGCATACAGACCAGAGAATGGAACACAATTCCAAGCATAAGAGCAATGGAATAAACTGTGAAGGAAAAGTTTTATGTACTTGACAATGAAAAGCTACGAATTTCTAGTAAGTATGTCAAAGTAACATTTGAAAAACTGCAACAAACACAAAGGGTGATATTCGATGTACTTATAAAGAACTCATGTGTGTGTGTGCTAAGTTGCTTCAGTTGTGTCTGACTCTTTGTGACCCCATGGACTGTAGCCCACCAGGATCCTCTGTCCATGGGATTCTCCAGGCAAGAATATGGGAGTGGATTGCCAGACTCTCCTCCAGGGCATCTTCCTGACGGCAGGAAAGGAGTCACAGGGATCAAACCCGTGACTCATGTCTCCTGCATTTGCAGTCAAGTTCTTTACCATTATTGCCACCTCAGAAGCCCAAAGAACTCACATGTACTACTGTAAAAATAAACAAAAACTCAAGAGAGGAAAAAGGGTAAATAATACATAGACTTTTCAAAAAAATCATTCATGGGTAATAAACATACCAATAAATTACAAACTAAACCATCAGATAAGTGATCTTAAGACTATTTTCTAGCCTGACAGGCATTTGTCACATATACCTGTGTGTGTTACAGACAAAAATTCTTTTCCCCTCCATCTCCTGTGTGAATAAAAAAAATAAACTCTCAGATCCAAAACAATACCCCCAAAGTTAGACACTGTCTCCATAATTTTAAACAGGTCAGTGTATATATGACTGTTGGGAATAAAACATTGGCATACCTTGGTGAAAAACAATTTGCAAAAAATTCCTTTCCTAGGGACTCACCTTAGGAAATACAGAAAATATGAATGCATAGGACAACTTATCTATAACTGTAAAAAATCTAGAAACAGGTTCCACAATAGAATAATACAGAAACATAAATGAGGGTACATCCATATGTGTGTCAGCCACTGAAATGAGGGTTTCCAAAGTCAGTTCATTGGATATGGAAAAGGTAATGATTTAGCAATGGTAAAATGACAATGCGTGTTAGGAAAATTGCACATGTATGTTAAAAAAAAAGTAAGAAAAAGCACAAAAAAATGTATGACTATCAAATACCTGAAAAGTGAATTAATGGTGGAATTTTTTTATTTCTTTTACCATGTTGTATTATACAAATTCTAAAGAAAGTATGGTAGCCTTCCTGTTGGGGAATGAACATAAAACAGTGTGTTCGTTGAGTCAGTGTATATTCTTATCAAGATTATACATGTCAGCCTTCCATGCAGCCAGAGGTGGACATGTGACCAAACAGGCCAGTGTGAAGGACAATTTCTGAGTCACACTGAAGTAGGCAAGCCACTTGCCCTGGGTTTTGATCTTTCCACTTCCCATAAGCTGGGATATGGACACAGCTACTGAGTCAACTCAGCACTGAAGACGATGAGTGAGTGACTTGGTGGAAAGAATCTGAGTCCCTGGATGACCCTTGGCTCTGACACAGCCCCCCAGTGTGAACTGTGAATGCAGGAGAGAAATGTTTGTCTGGTCTGGGTCACTGTCACTGGGGGTCTTTGTTACAGTAGCTTAACATGAAGTCTCAGGGCTCTTCACACCCCAAGTATGCTTTATATATTTTTCTGTGCAGATGTTATCTTTCTCTATGTTTCCTAATTAATTTCAGTTTAAAATACCCATATCATTTTTTTAATATGAGTGCACAGTAGGTCTCTAATTAAAGTGATAGAATATCTAGTCACTTCTATATGACCTTCCTAAACACAGGACTCCAACAACAATTGATATTAATTCAGGCCACAGAACCATGATTCACAATTTCCAACTGCCTGAGTATCTGCTATCGAACAACTATGCTCTAGAAACTTGGGATTCTATAGAGTCTTGACCCAGAGGCAGAGATCTGAGATGCTGATGGTCTTCAGCATCAGGAAGGATACATAAAGGATACAATGAAAGGAATCTCTGACCATTTATTCAAAAATAACCACTATGCTGTTTATTTTTGGTCATGAAGCACATGGGGACAGAACTGGGTCAGGTGACTCAGAGCTTTAAGTGTTTAGACAGTAAATCCCCTACAGACAAACCTTCAAGTCAAAAACTTTCAGATTTACAAACATGTGTTCACATGTCCAATCATGTAAGTTAGTTCACGTGTCTGGCATACGTTGTCACACGCATGCATCCTCTATACACGATTGTGCTTTTGTGTACCATACAGTGCTGGATACAGTGCGGCAGTACAGTATGTTTATTTCAAGCCCTGGATGTCCAGGAACAAGGGTAAACGCGGTGGTGATGTAGCTGGTATTACTGCACTTTTCAAGGTACTGTAAGATTAAAACTGCTTTATGTTTGTGATTTTTATTTATTACTCGTGCAGACAGTTAATATAAACGTACAGTACTAGAGACCTGATTGTGTTAGTTGGGCACTTAGGCTAACTTTTCGGACTCACAAACAAATTGAACTTGCAAACATGTTCTCAGAATGGAGCTCATTTGTATACAGGGGACGTCCCATGGTGAGCTTTTCAGATCAGCATCTGATGAATGCGGAGGAAGCAGGCCTGGCCCTCCTGGGCTGATTTTACTTCCTCATAGACAGTAAATTAGGACGCAGAGCTCCTACTTTTGTGTCCTACCCCTGCTCTCCACCATAGTCCCCGAGGATATGGACTTGGGGAGGGCGGAGATGGACTCCTAATCAAAAGGAAGCTCTAGTTCAGAGACTTCCTAGAATTGGGGGATCAGCCCAAGGCTGCCTTGCTCTCCACTGTCAGTCACTTAGACCTTCGTGTTGTATGGCTACAGAGAGATTTTTGGAAATAAGGATACATCATTAATGTGAGATCAAATGAACAGGAGGATATAAAAAAGAAATTACAGTGATATGTGGTCTTTCTGAGAGCTGTCTGCAATAATTATATGTTACATGAGAATTATAAAGACCTTTTAACATGACACGTGAGTTCCCAGTCTTAGAGCTTAGGTGCCCTAAGTACTGGCAGAATGACAACAGAAATCAGAGTTCCCAGGACTGGCACAGAAAGATGGTCACTGGAAGCAAGAATGTATTACGATAAAGTAAGGGATTTGCCGAATTTAACTCATCTCGATGTAACATTTTATTTTCTGAATAGAAACAGAAAAAAGACAAAAAAAAATAGCATAATCAGGAGTTTCAGCTAATGGCCATACTGCCAAGGGCAGTCACGTTCAAAAGACAATTAAGAAACCGGACAAAGTGAACAAAAATGATATGTTTCAGAATTCTGGAAATTGACCAAAAGCATAGGACAATATGAGGAACAGTTACAGCTAACAAACTGCTGAACCAGGGTAAGAAGGGGGGTGGGCTGTGGCATCCTGGCTCACAACAGGCAGCTCCTAGCAGGGGCCAGGCCACGAGCATCAGCAGCTTCTCTGCCCTGTGCACGGCGGGGCAGAGCCCACGCCTGTCAGCACCGTCCGCACTGTAGACTCCACAAGCAAGAAGGGCCAGCAGCTCAGCATCTGGCCTGTGTCTGTGTCACGCGCGGAGCCCGTGAGGCTGCGTGTACAGCACTGGAGGCTGGAGAAGCCCAAGCCAGCCACACACGCCACGTGAGTCCAGAGGCCCCCCGCCTGCTATCCACATGCACCCTACACAGACCAGAGGGACCAGGAAAGACAAAAGCAAGCCAGCTAGAAAATGCCCTGAGCTGGGAAAGCCCCGCCTTGCCCACACTAGGATGACAGCAGAGACTGAATCCTTGTAGACCTGCTGCTGCTGCTGCTAAGTCGCATCAGTCGTGTCCGACTCTGGGCGACCCCATGGACAGCAGCCCAGCAGCCTCCTCTGTCCCTGGGATTCTCCAGGCAATACTGGAGTGGGTTGCCATTTCCTTCTCCAACGCATGCATGCATGCTAAGTTGCTTCAGTCATGTCTGACTCTGTGCGACCCTATGGACAACAGCCCAGCAGCCTCCTCTGTTCACAGGATTCTCCAGGCAAGAGTACTGGAGTGGGTTGCCATTTCCTTCTCCAAAGTCCAACAAAGGCTCTAACTGGCAACTCGCCTGGACAAAAGCAGCGTGGCTCCAAAAACACCCAGGCTTCAAAAAATGAAAACAAAGTTGAAAAAAAAACAACTACACAGAAGCATCAGGAGCTGCTCACTGCAGGAGAAAGAGTTTTCATAGATTCATCCTCCAGAAGCATGAACAGAACCCAGGTGGAATACACAGAGATCTACATCTCGACACATCAAAGTCAAGGTGTTGAAAGGCACCAAGAAATCTTGAGAGAGTCAGACAAAGTGACTCAGGACTTCCAGGGAGCATCGGCTTTGTTAGCGGCTGGCTTCTTATAAGAAGCAACGCAGGTGAACAGAGAGGAGAGATGTTCGTTACAAAAATGTGAGTTAAAACCACACATCACCAGGACGCTTACAAACAGGAAGACCAGCAGCGTTGACGGCAGCGTGGGGATCCTGAAAAGTCCCGTCATTGTTCTTGGGATTAAGAAATGATTGACACTTCGGAGAACAGCTCTGAAGCTTTCTAAAGTGCTGTACACAAGTTACCATACAACCCAGAAAAGGACCGCTAAGAGAACTAGAAACGTGGGTCTAGACAAAGACGTGTGTGCGGCTGTTGACAGCACTGCACTGAACGGCTGAGTGTGGCGACCACCCAAGGGCCCGGATTGGGAGTGGGCAGCACGCACTGTCCTGCTGCCCCATGGACACCGCTCCCTGCTGGTTCCGAGTGCCGACTCTCAGACAGAGTCACACGCCAACGATCACGGGTCACATGATCCACCCAAAGGGCCCGGATGGGGAGGGGGCAGCACACGCTGTCCTGCTGCCCCATGGACACCGCTCCCTGCTGGTTCCGAGTGCCGACTCTCAGACAGAGTCACACGCCAACGATCACGGGTCACATGATCCACCCAAAGGGCCCGGATGGGGAGGGGGCAGCACACGCTGTCCTGCTGCCCCATGGACACCGCTCACTGCTGGTTCCAAGTGCCGACTCTCAGACAGAGTCACACGCCAACGATCATGGGCCACATGACTCCACGTGGATGAAAGATCCAGGAAGGGCACGCTGATGGAGACAGACAAACTGGAGTGCACGGGGGTTAAATGAGAACACTCCAAAGTGACGGATACACCCTGAACTGGGTCTGGATGACGAGGCACAGGACTGCAGTGACAAAAATCACACAGGAAGGTGCACTTAAAGTGGAGAAGTCACATGGCACATAAACCATACCTCAAAGAAACTTTTTTTAAAGGGCAGTGGTAAGTCTGACAGTAAGGGCTTCCCTGCTGGCTCAGCAGTAAAGAATCCACTTGCCAGTGCAAGAGATGCAGGAGACCCGGGTTCAGTCCCTAGGATGCAAAGAGGCCCTGGAGGAGGACGTGGCAGCCCACTCCACTCTTGTCACCTGGAGGACCCCATGGACAGAGGAGCCTGGTGGGTCCATAGGGTCACAAAGAGTCGGACGTGACTGGGCTACGGAGCCTGAGTTCTGACAGTAAAATTCAGGAAGGTTGGGCAGCAGGCAAAGCATCATGAGCACTGCTGTGCTGTTTAGCGGCTCAGCTGCGTCTGACCCTCTGCAACACTGTGGGCTACAGCATGCCTCTGCCCACGAGATGCTAGACAGAAGAATGTAGGAGTGGGCTGCCATTTCCTTCTCAGGGGATCTTCCTGACCCAGGGATTGAACTCAGGTCTCCTGCTTGGCAGGTAGATTCTTTACCACTGAGCCACCTGGGAAGCCCATCACTGAGTGAGTGTAAGTTAAAACAAACAAAAAGAGGAAGCAGTGGTGTGAACAGCATCCTTCCTCAATGAAGCTCGACTGTGCCTCGACCCCAGCATTCCCAGGGGAATTAGCTCGAGAACCAGCATTCCCGCCCGGGTCTGTCACCTGGATTGACAGCGTCTGGTTATTTTTCCAGGAACTGACACTACCGCAGTCATCGGCAATGTCTCCCAGGACCCATCTTGAGTGATGGGCTGGCTTTGTGTTTCACTTCTAGCAACAAGGAGCAGGCCACTCACTCCAGCTCAGACTTATCCATTCAGGAAATCTGGGGGACACTCTTCAGGACCCCTCTTCCCTCACAGGTCTGGTTAGGAATCCCCAGCCTGCAAGATCCTGGCTAGTCTTGACCTGGGCCTGTGCCCACAGTGAGGGTCCTCCACCCCCAGGGCCAGAGCTGGCTGGTTTGTCAGCCACTGTCAAGCAGAGGGTCCCCAGGGCCGTGCTTCTCTCCAGGGCCCACAGGACTCTGTCGGAGCCTTCGGCATCCCTGGGGTGAGCCAGGCTCAGGGAACCAGATGACTTTGCTGATGCTGGTTGCTTCTCTCTGACCCATGCATCTCCTATCTTCTGGAAGCATGCAGGAAGCCCCTACGCGGATCTGTAAGCTTACAAGTAAGGAAAAATCCCAGATCCTTCACTGTGGCTAACATTTTGCTCCTGGCACATTTGACGTGCAGTCAGAAGCAAGCACGTCTAAACTCTTAAGCCTGATCTCCACTGCAGGACATACACTGCTGTGTATAAAACAGACCACCAACAAGGCCCTACTGTAGAGCGCCCGGAACTCTCCTCAGCACTCTGTAAAGACCGATAAGGGAAAAGAATCTGAAAAGAAGGGAGTATATGTATGTATAACTGATTCATTTTGCTGTACAAGAGAAACAACACAACATCGTAAATCAACTGTACTCTAATAAAAATTTTAAAAAATAAATAAATTTAAAAAGAATGCTTATGAGCCAAACCACTGTGCTCATTCTCCCTCGGTGAGTTTAGGAAACCTAAGAACTGCATCACTCTGTGGCCTAGAAGAGTGCAGCATAAAGCTAAAAAGAAGCCAACGATGTGAAAATCTCACCACAAGACTAATTCTGTGAGGAAGAAAATATGAGACCCTGTTTGGAAACGTGCTGAGTTTTCATTTCAGCTAACTTTCATGCTGGAATAAAGGGGCTGAAACTGGTCATGGAAGGGGCGAGGAGGACGCCCGGCTCTCCAGACGTGACTGACGGACAGTCAGAGTGTGGTAGTGGGGGACCACTGGCTTCAGAGTCCCCGCCAGGCCACTCACGGGGGTGGCCTGGATGTGTAACCTGGTCCCTCCCTGGTCAGTGTCCCGACCTACGTCAGGGGTGACACATGGCATCGTGTGGCAGCACTGTGTGGGGCAAGCGGGTCGGGTGGGGGCACTGCACTCGGTCTGGGAGCCGCCAGGCTCACCTGTGGGAGCTCAGGACCACAGCACAGCCTGCCTCAGCCTCCTTCCTCACCGCTTCCCACAGGTGCCGCTTGGAGCAGGGGTCCATCCCGGAGCTGGGCTCATCCTGAAGGAGAGAGAACACGGGGTGAGGGGTGGGGCAAAAGTCACGTGGGAATGCGCTCCCCCGGTGCAAGCAGGCAGGCTAGAGGGAAATCCAGTCCCAGCGCCAGGCCACGCTCTATGCTCAGCAGATGCCAGGAGCCCTCAAGTCTGCTGGGCTCCCCTTGGAATCTCGGGCCGGTAGGCCTGCCCTGATGCACCCCAACCTCTTTAAAACACCAGAAGCATCTACCCTAGAAGATATACAAGAGCAGAAAAAGACTTCATTGATTTCACAGCGTCAAGGACAGTGAAATTTCTTTTAAACCCGAAGCTTTCTCCTTCAATAAACACTCAAGCACCTCTTCTCTGAACCCCTTTAGAGAGAGATGTGTGTAGGCTGCCTGATGCATTTCTGTGCCCTTGCAGTCAGGGAGTACCGAACATATTTTTCTTAAGAGCTGAGGTCATCAACTGCCCCAGAGAAACAGAAGGAAAGTGGACAAAAAAAATGGCACAGAATAGGAAAGCAAATGCTGGGTCTTTCGTGCAAATCACGTGACACGGTGAGTAGTTATAAACCAACTAAGTGGAAGGCGTGATTGGCCACTTTCCCCTGAGAGAGTCGGAGGCATCGCCCCACATTTCCACACAAGGGTCGGCAGGGGGACACGTGTCTTGTCTCTGGGGAGGATGCTGAGCGTGCTTCAGTGCACGTCCTCCACCAGATACACACACTCACAGTCACCCCCGTCACTAACGCTTCATGTGGAGGATTTCAAGGGTGCCTCCAAGGACTCCGAAAGACACACACTGTCATCAAGGACCATTTTAAATGAGGAGGAAACATGCATAGGACTTGTGAGTCCCCACCCAGGTCACTGCGCCCAAGCACAGGAGACCTAGCAAGCTGAGAGTGCGATCGAGGACCAAAGTCCCATCCAATGCAGGATATGTGGGGGCAAGGCTGAGCGGAGGATCCTGCTGAAGGCAGGGAACAGCCCCGCCGGGAACTCTTAAAAAAAGGCAAGCCAGCCTCTCCTCTTGTAAGAAAAAGGTCTTCTGCAAACTGCAAAATCACACAAGTGTAAGCTTTGGTTACCCGGTTTCAGAAGATGCAATTACACAGTCGTCTTTGATTCCGGACCTTGGGAAAAAGTAAGCTTAGGGCAAGTAAGAGGAGAATCCAGCTCAGATTCCAGAAGACACTCCACAGATAATGGGGCCCTTTCTCCAACTCAGGTCTTCTGAATCTCCCTTAAGTGCCCCCACTGAAATGCTGCCTCCACTAAACAAACAAGAACAGGCAAAGAAAGGCTGTCTTTTGTCTCCTATACTGTTCCGTGTTCCTCAGATTTCCTTCCAGTGCGAAGCCCTGGGTGGCCCTCTAATGGTTAGAATCCAGTCTATGGCCCACAAATAATGACTTCTTTTTATTATTTAAATGATACTACTCTTAGCTATTTTTGAAATGCAAAACGATTGGCTCTGTTTATTGACAACCGGGCCACCTCTAATTCATGCTTCTATCCAGGCAAACGATTAATTTCAGTGCCCATGTGGGTTATAGATGGCCCTGTCTCAGGTCCACTGTCTGTGCTCTGCTCTCCTGCTGGATGCCCTCCCCTCACCCACAAGTTCTTCCCTCCCCGTGACCCCCACCCTCAGATTCAGCAGAGTCCCTACAGCTCTGACCGTCATATCTGCAGAAGACTTAAAGCAACAGGCCAGAGGACAGGCATGCTTTGGTTTTCAGATTACAAGCGGGCTCTGGTATTCTTTTAAAATACTGTCTTTAGTGTTGAGACTTTATGGAATCTTCAATTGGATAAATAAAAGGGACTCCAAAGAGTCTGCTTCATCTCAGTAAAATTCCAATGGTATTATAGATTCTGTTTGGAAAATGTTGATTCAGGGCAAAGCATTTATTAGTTCAGATTTTTGAACACCCTCCCTGGAGGACCTCTGATAGATCAAAGCATCTTACCTGGAGACACTGGCACGTCACTGCGGCATCCACTACTCACCAGTAAGAGAAGGTCGGGCTTCCCCAGCAGGGCCAGGGCTGTGGACAGCTTCCTCTTGGTGCCCCCACTGTAGGTGGCCACGGGTTTGTCCACGTGGGCTTCTAGATGGAGGCGCCTCACGAGGTCCCCAGCCACCTGGAGAAGAGGAGCTCTCTGTGAGGGCACCCCATTCACCAAGGGCCCCCCACCCCGGCACCTGTTCCTGGGCCCGGAGCCCTGCTTCCTCCTGCCCCGCCCACACCCACACTCGGCCTGGCTCCTGGACACCCCCCGCCATGACACAAGGATGCTCGGAATAAACAGGCAGGAGCCCCCCTGGACAAAGCTGGGTTTTCTGAGCCTATGAGTTACGGAATTGATGGCCAGAACCCTGAGCTCCTGGGCTCAGGGAGCAGCAAGGGCCAGCAGCAAGGGGTCCAGCATGGGTCAGACACACCTCCATGCTGAGATGAGCAATCACAGGTGAGCCAAACAAGGACAAAGATGGAGCTGATGGGGGTGAAACCCGAGGAGAGGAAGCTTCAGGGGACAGGGGAGCAAGGGGGAGCCCTCAATATGCCAAGAAAGGATGACTCTTCCCCAGAGAGTGCACACTCAGCTCAGTTTAGAGAGAAGAAGAGTCGGTGTTCTGTTTATCTGCAACCACTGAGCACCCTCTAATCAGGTCCAGAGGATGGTGACTGCCTATCACCAGAGCACCTCCAGCCCCCTGGTACATCAGGCAAGGTTACCGCTCCGCTTCCTCCTCCACCTTTCAGCCCATCACACATTTATACCTCCTGGAAGCCCCAGATCCTTTCCTTCCCTCCCAGCAGAAGACAGCTCCCCACCACCAGCTTAGCTGCTTCGCACTCTTTCTGTCTAATTACTGGCTACACTGGTTCCTCTGGGAGCCAAGATGAAGAAACCTTTGTTTTCAACTATGCATGATTTTTACATGTTGTAAACAATTTTATTTAACTCTTGTGATCCTAGAAGTATTAATACAGATTTGTTTCTTTCAATATCATCATGTAACTGAACTGGTCAAGATCATACCTCAATTCAAACATCAGAGAACTGGGAAAACCTCTGTAGGACTAGGGATGAGCTAATAAGTATGTGTTCTAAATAACCCCATAAGAGCACAGTTTTAAACTCATACCTACATTTTTTATAAATGTATAAAAGTTGGGATAGTAATAATAACAGTGGTAATTGCAATGATGAAATATTAAGAACTTCTAAAAAGATTAGGATAATATTTAGGCCACCCAATAAAAACTCCTTAACATAAACTGGGGCTCCCCTGATAACTCAGACAGTAAAAAATCCACCTGCAATGCGGGAGATCTGGGTCAGGAAGATCCCCTGGAGAAGGGAATGGCTACCTACTCCAGTATTCTTTCCTGGAAAATCCCATGAATAGAGGAGCCTGGTGGGCTACAGTCCATGGGGTCGCAAAGAGTCAGACAGGACAGAACAAGTACCATTTTCACTTTTCAAGATAAACTGCTCTTTCACTTTATTTGTAGAGCCTCAAAATGACCCAGAAAGAATTAAGAGTCTCTGGTCTCTTAACCATGACTGGTCTAGTTGTGAAACAGTATAAATCAAGGAGGTGAAGACTTCAAGGCCCCAGAGATTCCTGAGGATGGTCTTAAATCCCCTGAGATCTGTCAAAGAATAACATCTTGAAGTCAGTAGTTTGTTCATCTTGGAAATAACATCGTTTTCCCAGATGGGTTTATAGGTATTATCCCTTTCCATAGCTCCATTAAGTATAATAATTTCAATTAACATAAAGTGCCTGTGTGCCAAGTTGCTTCAGCTGTATCCAACTCTTTGCAACCCCATGGACCACAGCCCACCAGGCACTTTTGTCCATGGGATTCTCCAGGCAAGAATACTGGAGTGGGTTGCCATGCACTCATCCAGGGGATCTTCCTGACTCATGGATCGAACTCGCATCTCTTACGTCTCTTACATTGGCAAGTGGGTTCTTTACCACTAGAACCACCTAGGAAGCCCCTAACATAAAGCAAATGAATGAAGTAAAAAGTTGTTCAAACAAAACAAGTGATTCAAGACAGACAGAAGTGTGAAAGGCAGTCCTGTGAGAGGGAGGCAGAGATATGATGGCTGGAATCAGAGAAGTAAAGACTGCGGTGACTTTTCCCTTGGAGAGGGTCTTCCAGAGAATAAAACCAGCCCCCAAGTAGACATTCACAGAAAATGAAAGGAGGCAGCCAGGAAGGCTTCCTGGAAGAAGAGGCTCTGTCTGTGAACAGGAGGACACTGGGAAGGCAGAGTCTGCTGGGAAGCTCACTCCTCCTGGAAGGCAGCGCCGCCAGCTGTGGGGCAGACAAGTGACGCACTGGGAAAATGACCTAAATGGAAGCTGATGAACAGAAAAGAGAAATAAGAGAATGATAAAAGTAGAGCCTGTTGCTATAGAAAAATGCACTGCAGCATAAGAGAACTTCTGAACAAACCTACCAAACTATTACTGATAATTTTTATGAAATCAGGAAACGTGTGTCATGCTTTTCCAGTTTCACAAAAGGTTAAGTGTTGCAGCCTTCAAATTCTGGACTGGTTAACCATAGCAAAGAATCCAGAGTATACAGGAATGGACATATTAGTCTGATCCACTTTCGGAATGTCACGTTTTCAGAAAAATAACTGAAATGGTCTAATAAGAAGTGTTTTGTTGCAGTCTATCCTGCACTTAGTACTCCTGTCAAAATAATGGCAAACGTAATGCCTTAGTCACTGTGGTTGCAAAATACCATCTAAACACCAAAATGCCAATAGTTAATGGAACCCCTCTCCACTACTAGGTATTTTCTTGCCATAAATTCTAGAAGTTGTACTGCACTTAAGGCAAGAATTTGGGATTATTCACTTCTATTGCCTCAATCTCTAACCATCTTTAACACATAATGGCACTTCTATAAATATTATTTGAATCAAAATAAGTTGCCCAGAGATTCATACAACCATCCATTTGATTCCGAAGCCAAAATTTTTCCACAAGCTTATGTGTCAATAACCACATTGAAATGCTCCATGAGATTAAAAGATCCAAATGAAGTGTTAAGCAGAAAACGGGAGCAAAGGGCTTAAGGCAGAATGCCTTCCTTCTGATCCTCTATTTCCTTCTGGCCCCTGTCTCTCTCGTCTTATAATTTCTAGCTCCTTCTAAGAAAACTGTGAATAGAAGAAAATTTGGGGAGACAAGTGATATCTGTGGAGACAATAAGTAGAAAGATGCAGTAGGGTTTTTCCCTGAAAGGTGTTTGCTGGTATTAACAAAGAAGAGATGGCTAAGGGCCTACCTCATCTATTCCAGGGAAAACAAAAATACAGAAATCCCAGCCCTGTCCCACTGGCAGTGTGGTTTGGTGTTTTGAATATGACTCTAACTCTGAAATTTTCTTACATGTGTCTCTAGCAATCCAGACCATGTTATAATCATTTTGTTATAACTTCATGTAAGTTTTTAAAAATTGGATTAACTGAATTCAGGCTCAGACAGGGATACAGTCCAAAACCATGCAGTGTGGACAATGGGGGGAAAAAAAGTTAAATGATTACATCAATCTGCTGAGCCTAAATTCAAGCTGAATGAAGACAGCATCCTTTTCTTACCAAACTGAACTTTTGGAAGGTCACGGAAATGGGTGACACAATCATACATTGGAGACCCCAAGCTGGACGTGAGCAAGGACGCTGGAGCACAGTGGCAGGCCCAGGGGGGCTCTGAGGGGGGACGCTTGGGGGCGGACCCTCCCCGGAGCCAGAGGGGCCCTGCCTCCAGAATCACAGAAGACAGAAGGGCGGGTGTCGTGTGACAGTGGGGACAGGTGGAGAAGAGGGCCCAGTACAACGCAGACACCAGGAGGGCATCCTTCGGGATCTGGGGGTCCTGAAACCCAGCACAGCTCCCTGGCAGAGGAGCCCTGACATAATCTCATGATGTTTCCACTTCTTCAGCTACCCACGGGGTGCAGAAAATCAGACCGAGCCATTCGGGGCACTGTAAACTCCATCTGACCAACCAGCCACCCAAGTGTGCCGAGAACCCACACTCTGGAGTTTGTCTGCCCTAAAACAAACCACCCACATCCCAGCCACTGGTTTGGGTGGCTTCCTATCCTGTTGGTGTTCAGTCACTAAGCCGTGTTCGACTCTTTGAGACTCCGTGGACTGCAGCATACCAGGCTCCTCTGTCCTCTATTTCCCAGACTTTGCTCAAATTTATGTCCAGTGAGTCAATGATGCTATCTCACCATCTCATCCCACCATTTCTGAAAAGAGGAATACACCCTGCGCAGCTCCAATGGATGCTGTAAAACAGAACAGTGCCTTGTTCACAATAACCAAACCATTGTTTTCTGCTCTTTTATAAAAATCCCTTCTGGTCACGTAGTGATGAGCGCATTGGAACAGACAAGCCTCTTCTATATTTCACATATTTCTAAAATTTACAGGAGAGGGGAATTTGTCATCAGGGGAGCTAATTCCTCTTGGAACACATGTGCTGACATCTTAGAAACCTCTGAGCAAGCAGCAATCCTGTCTGCAAAATCACTTGCCATTTCATGAAAGAAATGAAGCCAGTTCCTAATTGGCGACCATTAGGATAACTTTTCTCTGTGGAGGCACTCAGCACAGTGAGCTCGTAAGACAGGTAAGGATCAGAAGTGATTGCTCTGGAAGTCAGCAAGCTTCACTGTCTTAACAAGAATGCTTTCAAAGGGCGTGCTTCCCCAGGGACAACAGAGGAGCTAGCTTAGAGCACTTGCCAAGCATCCACCTCTTTAATCAGAAACCAGCCAGGGGAGCTGGCGGAGATGAACACCCATTAAAGGCTGAGCCAGCGACTAGCCCTGGATGTCAAGAGCTGCTTAAACTGTGGTGAGCAGGGTCCTTTGGGCGGACACATGTCTTTGCCTTATTGAGATGGGAGGTGGGTGAGTGGACTAGCACCCCTCTAGGGACATGGAGAGATCGCATTCTGGTTTCACTTAGAGGCACAGAGCATAAATAAGAAAGGAAGGCTGTGGCACGGCACGGCAGCACAGAGAATGAATTTTCATGGGCCAGTGAAGGCGACGGCTGTGGGTTTGTCTCCTGGGAACCCCATGATTGCTCCATCTCCTGCAGAAGCTCATTGAAAATGCATCCCACACGCCCCTTATTTCTGCTCCAACTTCAGAGTCTAGACAGGCAAGCAGCACCCCACACCCTCCACAGTGAGGTGCAGAGGAGGTAAAACCACGCCCTGAGCACCTGTCAGTCTGAGGCTGCCCCCTGGCCTGAGTTGTCAGTCAACACTGTCAGCTCCGCCTCGCTGGCCGCAGCTGGAAGCAGACAGAGGGCGGCTGCTTCTGATTCTCTCAGGGGCACCCACTCCCTCAACCCTGGAAGGGAAGGGGGATTCTGTGGCTCCCCACACACATCTGCCCCCCTGGGCCCCCAGAAAGGATGATGCAGAACCCTCCAGAAAGGAGCCCAGGCATGCGGCTGGCAGCCCGCCCAACAGGAAGTCATCCTTTCCATCCACCCAACAAATCCACACATGAGCTAAGTCCTTCTTCACAGGCCCTGGGTATCCAAATCTATGCTATTTGCTCTTTAATATAAATTAACAGCCCACTAAAAGTAAAAGATGCTTGGTGGGGGAGGGGGTCCTATAGGAAACAAGACTGCAGATGGCTGTGGGCTTTCACTCCTACCCACGGCTTCTTCTCTGGGCAGGGACCTATTCTAAATATACATCATGAATATAACACAGACATATTTGTGTTAACTGCAGTGTGACAATATTGGAAATATATTTCAGGGACACTTCATCTGACACCGCAGATCCTCATCACAGGGTGAGAGAGCTCGCCTGGGACCCGAGATGTTGCCATGCACTCCTCTGCTGGTCCCTCCTTCCGGAAACCCTAGGAGGCTCTTACCTTGGGGATGGACTGCTTTGGAATCCCATGGAGGCAGCAGTAATAGCGCAGGTGCTCCCAGCCCGTCAGGAGCTCGTCCAGGGCGTCCTGCTGCGGACAGTAGCCAACGCGGATGCCGGCTGCACCAGCAAGAGACAGAGTCACGTCCTCTCTGCCAAGAGAAGCAGCAGCATACAGAAAATCCGCTTATTAATCCAGACACACATCACCTGTTTCTTAAATCTGGCTCATCAATCACAAGTCTGCTGCAGTTTGTGCTGTGTACTAAGTGCATGCAAAGTCACCTCAGTCGTGTCCAGCTCTTTGTGACCCTATGGATTGCAGCCCTCCAGGCTCCTCTGTCCATGGGATTCTCCAGGTAAGAATACTGGATAGGGTTGCCAAGCCCTCCTCCAGGGGATCTTTCCGACCCAGGGATCAAACCCACGTCCTTATGTCTTCTGCACTGACAGGCAGGCTCTTTACCACTAGCACCACCTGGGAAGCCCTGTTGCAGTTTGTTTAATGCAACCAGTTAACTTAGTATAAACGGGTTCAATGAACTAGCAGTCCATGTGTGGGTAGGACAGACCTAGCTCTAACGCCACAAATGCTCTGCTTGTCAAAGAACAGGCATAAGGCATAGAGCTTCCCAGCATCATCTGGCTGCACACAATGTTTTGTTTGTGACTTCCAAGAGTCTGTTTCCCCAGTCCTATGGAACTTCTGCAATCAAATCCCACTGGACTCCAAAGTCAAATTCCCTGGGGGTTTGGCAACAATGGCTATTGCTTCATAAATGGCCATCACAGCTATTATTCCCCCAACCAAAACAACTTGTATGAACATCTGATAAATCCATGGTGAGGCTATCACTCAGTGTCAGATTTTTAAAAAATCACTTTTATGATAGCAGTAATATATATACCTGATTGAACACAGAGAAAAATAGAGATCTAAAAGAAAAGCTCATGGTCTCAGCCCTCAGTTACTGTCTACCATTAATATTCTGTTAATCCTTTAAGTGCAGCAATGCTCCACGAGTACATGCTGAGGTTTATACACAATTGTACGTACTTAAAGGAAAAGAGCTCCTGTTTTATTCTAATTTTACTATTAATAGATACTCATCATGGACATTTAAAAACTACTCAAATGTGATCACATTTAACATGAAACACTGACATCTTTCTATGCATTTTTACATAGATAGAATCATAAAGTCTATAAGTTTTCCTGAGAACAGTTCAGAAAGGAAAATTTACAGCTTCAAAATGAAACATTATGTAAAGAAAAACTTGCCAAGAAATCATGACTACTACAGAAGCTATTATGAGCATCTTTCATTAAAAAAAAAAAGTGAATCTACTCATTCAATGACTAAAAAAGCAAAATGGCTGTCTGAGGAGGCCTTACAAATAGCTGTGATAAGAAGAGAAGCCAAAAGCAAAGGAGAAAAGGAAAGATATTCCCATTTGAATGCAGAGTTCCAAAGAATAGCCAGGAGAGATAAGAAAGCTTTCCTCAGTGATCAGTGCAAAGAAATAGAGGAAAACAACAGAATGGGAAAGACTAGAGATCTCTTCAAGAAAGTTAGAGATACAAAGGGAACATATCATGCAAAGATTGGCTCAATAAAGGACAGAAGTGGTATGGACCTAACAAAAGCAGAAGATATTAAGAAGACATGGCAAGAATACACAGAAGAACCACACAAAAAAGATCTTCACAACCCAGATAATCACAATCATGTGAGCACTCACCCACAGCCAGACATCCTGGAATGTGAAGTCAAGTGGGCCTTAGAAAGCATCACTACAAACAAAGCTAGTGAAGGAGATGGAATGCAAGTTGAGCTATTTCTAATCCTAAAAGGTGATGCTGTGAAAGTGCTGCACTCAATATGCCAGCAAATTTGGACAACTCAGCAGTGGCCACAGAACTGGAAAAGGTCAGTTTTCATTCCAATCCCAAAGAAAGGCAATGCCAAAGAATGCTCAAACTACTGCACAATTGCACTCATCTCACATGCTAGTAAAGTAATGCTCAAAATTCTCCAAGCGGGGCTTCAGCAATACGTGAACCGTGAACTTCCAAACTGGTTTTAGAAAAGGCAGAGGAACCAGAGATCAAATTGCCAACATTCGCTGGCTCATCAAAAAAAGCAAGAGAGTTCCAGGAAAACATCTATTTCTGCTTTACCTACTATGCCAATGCCTTTGACTGCTGTGGAAAATTCTGAAATGGATGGGAATAGGCAGACCACCTGATCTGCCTCTTGAGAAACCTGTATGCAGGTCAGGAAGCAAGTTAGAACTGGACATGGAACAGCAGACTGGTTTCAAATAGGAAAAAGAGTATGTCAAGGCTGTATATTGTCACCCCGTTTATTTAACTTATATGCAGAGTACATCATGAGAAACACTGGGCTGGAGGAAGCACAAGCTGGAATCAAGATTGCCAGGAGAAATATCAATAACCTCAGATACGCAGATGACACCACCCTGATGGCAGAAAGTGAAGAAGAACTAAAGAGCCTCTTGATGAAAGTGAAAGAGGAGAGTGAAAAAGTTGGCTTAAATCTCAACATTCAGAAATCAAAGATCATGGCATCCAGTCCCATCACTTCATGGCAAATAGATGGAGGAACAGTGGAAACAGTGGCTGGCTTTATTTTGGGGGGGCTCCAAAATCACTGCAGAGGGTGACGGCAGGCATGTAATAAAAGATGCTTACTGCTTGGAAGGAAAGTTATGACCAACTTAGACAGCATATTAAAAAGCAGAGACATTACTTTGCCAACAAAGGTCCATCTAGTCAAGGCTATGGTTTTTCCAGTGGTCATGTATAGATGTGAGAGTTGGACTATAAAGAAAGCTGAATGCCAAAGAATTGATGCTTCTGAACTGTGGTGCTGGAGAAGACTTTTGAGAGTCCCATGGACTGCAAGGAGATCCAACCAGTCCATTCTAAAGGAGATCAGTCCTGGGTGTTCATTGGAAGGATGGATGTTGAAGCTGAAACTCCAATACTTTGGCCATCTGATGCCAAGAACTGACTCTTTGGAAAAGACCCTGATGCTGGGAAAGATTGAAGGCAAGAGAAGAAGGGAATGACAGAGGATGAGATATTGGATGGCATCACTGACTCAATGGACATGAGTGTGAGTAAACTCCGGGAGTGAGTGATGGACAGGGAGGCCTGGCGTGCTCCAGTCCATGGTGTCACAAAGAGTCGGACACAACTCTTTGCAGCAACTGAACTCTTTGAGCAACTGAACTGAACTGACTGAATGTTTTAATCTGTATTTAAGTGGTACAAGTACCTGGTAATAAGTAAACAATTCAAGAAAATTTGGTTTTGAGTAAAATTTTGTGTAAAATTTTATGTTTCCCATTTCATTTTGCTTTTGTTCCTAATCTTGTAAGCATTAATCCATCAAACAGTTTTTCCCTAAATTTTAAATAGCAAAAGTTTATTTCAGCCTGATTTTTGCTACTCTTTAGAAAATATGTTCATCTGTTCAATCACTCTTAGGAACTTTCTTTATCGGTGTATTTAAGAGATTTCACAAGACATATAGTAGTGTGCATCTTTTTCAACAAATTTACTAGCATATTAGAATTTTTTATTTCAATACGCAACATCAGGTTTTATTTTGAACCACTGCCTCTGGAAAAACTTCACTCAAAAACTTTTTTCTATCCTCTTTTTTATTTTTCATGGTGGTAAAAGACATAATACAAAACTTATCATTTAGCCATTTTACATTTTAAGTATAAAATTTAGTGGAATATTAAAAGCATTCTATGCAGTCATCATTACTATTAACATCTAGTTCTAGAACATTTCCAATATCCTCAAAGGTAACCTCATAATTCTTGGTATATTTAAAATAAAAGAAAAGAGAAACCTTAATCAGAGTTAGTCGAGGTGGCTCAGACGGTAAGAAATCTGTCTGCAATGTGGGAGACCCGGCTCGATCCCTGGGTTGGAAAGATCCCCTGGAGAAGGGAATGGCTCCTCACTCCAGTATCCTTGCCTGGAGAATCCCATAGACAGAGGAGCCTGGTGGGCTACAGTCCATGGGGTCACAGAGTCAGATATGACTAAGCGACTAACATACATAGGAGACCAGCAGGGGGCGCTCTCAAGCCCTGTGACAGCGGCCTAGCCCACAGGGAGAAGACTTCCTCTCAATGAATATTATCTAGGGTGAAACAGATCACCAGCCCAGGTTGGGTGCATGAGACAAGTTCTCGGGCCTGGTGCACTGGGATGACCCAGAGGGATCGGGTGGAGAGGGAGGTGGGAGGGGGGACCGGGATGGGGAATACATGTAAATCCATGGCTAATTCATTTCAATGTATGACAAAAACTACTGTAATGATGTAAAGTAGTTAGCCTCCAACTAATAAAAATAAATGAAAAAAAAAAAAAAAGACTTCCTCTCCTCCCACCTGGACTCAGCCAATGGAAAGTCAGCTGTAGGCTCCTTGTTACTGCCCCACCCACCCTCCCTTCCACTCTATAAAAGCTTTCTTTTCTGCATCTTCACAGGGGGACTTGCCAATGCATTGCCATGGTTGCAGACCCCAAATTATAAGTTCTTCAATGATCCCCAAAACCCACCCTTGCTGGAAAAATAACCAGCAGTCTATTTGTTTTAGATCAACATGCATATATGAGTCATGCCTCATTTCCCTGTCCCTCCAGCCCCCCCACCTTCTTTTTTAATCACCACTTTGCATTTTGTAGATGTTAAAACTAAACCCTGCCTTGAACTGACTACAGAACCAGTTCTAAGTTAAAACTAAACCCTACCTTGAACTGACTACAGAACCAGTTCTAACACCTTTATGTGGCCCATACAAGTCTGCCATTGTTTTCATTCTTTAACACTTTCACACAAAGATAAAATGACAATATAAAAAAGGAAGAGGGGAAGTTATTACTTTTTTAACTAATAGGTTTAATTTTTAGAGTGGTTGAGGTTTATGGGAAAGTGGGATAGAAAGTACAGGAGGATGAAGGAGGTCACGAATCAGCCCTCCAATCATTATCTTCATTGCTGTGGCACATTGGTTAAAATTGACTGATACTCCTGTTAACAAATGCCCACAATCCACACTGGGGTTTGCATTTTGCATTGAGCATGCTGTGGATTTTGTC